CCTGTCTTCAGTTACCAGGAAAAAGAAGTGAGCTCACAGAGAGTGGAAATCTAGTTGTCCTCATTCACAGCTGTACTCCCTCAATAAATACTGGGGAAGAAATAAAGTCAGTGTGGGAAAATGGGCCACACACTACCAAAATGAAGAAATATATATATATATGTTTTGTTTTGTTTTGTTTTTTTGAAAGGAAGACTGCAACTCTGACTCATAGGAAAGAGGACTCCAAAGATGTGAAATCTGAACTGGGATCCTACTTGTGGGCCTGGTGGGCCAGGATGAAGCTTGCAGAAAAGGGTAAGATGGAAGGGTCAGTTGAGGACAGAATAGGATGGCTAGGGTTTAAACTTTTAAATGTGGATTCCTGATCTGAGACGTGTTTCTTCTTGCACTTAAGTCATTTACCCTTACATTTTCACACATCCCATGTTTATTAAAGCATTACTGTACAATTAAGCAATGCAACCCCTAGAAGACTGTTGCGATGAGATCTTTACTCCATGCCAATGGGGGAACATAAAAGACTTCAAGCAAGTTACTTGTTGTTAGGAAGCAAAATCAAATTGATTACATTTCCAAAGGAGTATAATATGGTGGAGACAAGGCCATCGTGAGAAAATCATTTTAAAAGCTCCTAAGCATAAGCAACTCATGACTAAAGACACTGCACTGTTATGCAACATGAGTGTCAGGAGAACAAATTTACTCATGACTCATGCTTCTGTATTACACATCTTACTGGATGTTTCCTTCACCTTAAAGAAATGTGAACATAAGTGTGTGTATAAAAATACCTGCTATCCAAAGCATGTAAACACAACAGCTCGTAGGCTAAGAAAAATCTGTTGACATGGTGTCATCAGAACCACTCTTCCAAGACTGAGAGTTACTCCACCTTTTGAAAAGTATGGCCAGTAAGCCAACGTCCTGCCAGACACCAGCTAGCCCCTACTGCGTCTTCCGAATTGGGTCCTGAACAGCCGGGACAAGACAGAAGAGTTAAAGCCCTGGGAAAGAGGTGTAAAAATAATCCCCCTGCCGCAACCGCACCCTACTCTGCCTGTCTTTTGCATTAAGGCGAGTAGGGAGAGACCCTAACTCTGCCCAATTCCAAGCCAGTGGGTCCCTCCTGGTCTCCTTTATCCGCCCACAAAACGCCTCGAGGGTGCGGACCAAAGTAGCCCACAAAGCGGCTGAAGCCAACCCACCAGTACCTGCTCCAGAGGTCTCCCGGTTGCCCCCCGGGTCATCCGGAAGGTCCCCGAGACTACATAGCTCTCTCCACCACACAATTTTCACCGACTTTATTGGCCCTGGACTTGGCGGGCCCCTCGCCGCCCACCTCCCCACTAAATCCCGCCAGCCTTCCATGACATCGAGTATATTGAAAAATACTGCGGGCGGTTATGAAAAGAGCCTTTGCTGGGAAAGCCAGCTCCCCTGTGGTGGCGACAGGATCACTTGCTCTTCGCCTTTTGACTCTCCGTCTTCTTGGGCAGCAGCACGGCCTGGATGTTGGGCAGGACGCCGCCCTGAGCAATGGTGACTTTCCCCAACAGCTTGTTTAGCTCCTCGTCGTTGCGGATGGCGAGTTGCAGGTGGCGAGGGATTATTCTGGTCTTCTTGTTGTCACGAGCGGCATTGCCAGCCAACTCCAGGATCTCCGCTGTCAAGTACTCCAACACCGCCGCCAGGTACACGGGCGCCCCAGCGCCTACTCGCTCCGCGTAGTTACCTTTGCGCAGCAGTCTGTGTACTCGACCGACCGGGAACTGGAGGCCCGCGCGGGAGGATCGAGATTTGGCCTTTGCCCGCACTTTGCCGCCCTGCTTCCCACGACCAGACATGTTCACCTCTCGCCAAAAACTCCTGCCTGCGAAGCGAAACGCAGCAGTCCAGCTCTGAGCAAGTGAATGTGAAGTACTACACCGGAACTGCCTTTAAGACTTTGTGCTGACACTAGGCGGTGTCTTCTCATTGGGCTCAGCAACATCCTCAGTTCTATTGGCCGATGACAGGCAGGCTCCGCTTCCAACCAGCGCTCCTGGTTGAGGGACCGCCTTCTCCAGCTCTATCCAATCAAAAGAGCAAACTCCTAGTCCTCATTTACATAACCCCCCATATGAATACGCAGGACCGGACCGCTCTGCGTTTGGGGCCTTCGTTGAATTAAGTGCATCCTGAGAATTGAACGTGCAAGTTTGCTCCAAGGAACGTCTTAAGAATTAAGGAACCATGGTTAGAAACTGAAAAATCTGGAAGAGCTACTCTGTCTACAAGTACGAAGCACTCCAGCAAGAAATACTAAAAGCAATTGAGGACGCAAGGTGAGCCCTACTTTGCTATGCCCGGTAGGTGGATTTTCTCACCGTATACAGCATCCTAACCAGCTAATTATCTGACTCCAGACCCCGCGCTTGTGGGCAACACTGCCCCTCTGCCTGCCGTTTCTTTAAACATGCGCGCCTTGTATCCTGCAAACTCAGATGCTCCTGCTGTTACTCAACAGTGTGGGGAGCTGGCTCCAAAAGATGCCTCGGACTGAACTGACCATCTGAACTTTCTTAATCAGCCTAGATGACACTGGATCCCTGCGCAATTCTGCCATTCACAGGTTGCCAATCTTCGCTTCTAGGGACTGCGAAACTAGAGTGCTAGACTAGACGTGAATGCTTTCTTCAGAGACTGCAACAAGTTCGGTTAGCCAAAACCTAACATGTCTTGTCTTTGAGGTTATGAGCCTGAAAAGAGTCTCTGGATTCCAGGGAGAGGCCGCAGGAGCAGCACAGTTTCTGAAGCACAAAATCTTGGCCCTGGTTTTCTCCTTATTCATCACCGCGCTGCTGATCATGTTCTCAAGGAGACTGAGGGTCTCCTTGTAGAGGAGTCCGGAAATCAATATGGTCGCCTAAGACATTCTGGTGGCACTTGGTAGTTCCCTTTCCCAGTCCTCTGCTGCCCCTGTGGTGCTCCAGTCCTGAAAAGACTAAAAAGAATGGTAGCAACTGTACTTACCTAAATTGCAGAGCCATAGCATTTGGAACAAAATAAGTTTTTTTTTTTATAAGAAACTTTTTTAACAATTCACTGACATAATTTAACAATTATACAATTATACTATTTGTTTTAAGCACATTAAAATAAGCAACATTTTATGTGGATTATAGTATCCGTTTAAAAGTAAAACAAATTTACCCTCCCACCATCTTAATTAAAGATTTGATTGCAATGAAATCACATTTTTGCCTATTTCTGTACGTGTCCTAATTGCCTAGAACAATGATTAACCTATATATACATAGTAGACACTCAATAAATGTCTTTGAAGTTGAGAAGCAGTATACTGTTATGATTAAGTCATTCATTCTGGAGCCAAACTGCCTTGGTCCAAATCCTGGCTGTACCACTTACCAGTTGATAAGCTCTGTAGGTATCCCAAAGTGTGTAAAGATTAAATATGTTAGTAAGCATCCAACAACTGCTAGATAAACTGAATAATGGACAAACCTCCGGTGCATTTATTAACATGTTCTTGATATGAGTTTTGTAAATTTTGCCTGTATTAAGGGAAACTTTTAACAATTATTATTTTGAATATGTTTTCCTTTTATTCTTGTCAGCAAGAGGATTTCTAACTTGAAAATGTTCTAACTTTGATTTTTTAGTCTTAATAAAATATAAGTTAATCGACCAATTTACCATTATAAGAATCCCGATCTGTTCAAGATCTGATAGACTTTTCTTTCTTCCTGTCAAGGATTAAAGTCATGTAGTTCAATATGACTATTCAGGATTTTTTGCAGTCATACACACGGTATTCTCAGGACTCTTTTATCACTGACAATAAAAATGTGTTATGGAGATGGGTAAGGATGGGTAAATTATAAGCATTTATACCTATCGAAAAAATTACTATAAAGCTTTTTTTAGAAAGTTAAAGATTGGGGACAGGGAGTACAATTTACTACAATATTCCTTCCTCCAGATGTTAAGTGCCTGGGAAAGAGTTATGAATCATCCTCTAAATACTGCTGCCTTTTATCAATAAAACCTTTTGGGAGGACAGAGAGCCCTGTATCCTAGAGCGGTGAAACTACTGAGAGTTTCATTTTGTTCAGGGATTCTCTTAAGAAAAAGATTGAAAGCCTCCTGATGAGCTATTTGCAGTACAAATCACTCTTTAAAGCTACGATCATGGGCTGTATTATTTTAAGACCTCTGAATTTTAAAGTGGAAGATGTGAGAACCTAAAGTTTGAATGAAATAAGAAATTTATTTCAACTAAATAATCATAGAAATCGTTATTTGTTGAAAAGCAAAAGTGCGCGGGGTTGGGGAAGAGGGCAGAGGAGGCAGAATAATCTGTAAAGGGCGCACAAGCAGTGATAAGGGAAAGTCTGGGAGGGGGGAGGAGGGGATAAGATCTTTTTTGAAACAATTTTAATTCTTTCTTTGCGGGGGTCACAAATGAGAAAAAAGTATTAAAAAATCTCCTCTGCCTCCCACTAGTGACTTGAAAATGATCCACAGATGAAAAGGTGTAAAGCTAATTGCTTTGAAATCTAACAAGATATAATGCACTCCCGGCTACTATTTATTTTTCATATTAGTCTGGGAATGCTGTTATTAAAGTAAGCATTCCTAGAAATCGCGCGCGAGAATGGGTATAGGGGGGACACGGGAGGGAGGAGGTGGGGAGAGGAAGCCAGCGCGCATAAATCTGGCCTATTTTTATTCAAGCGTTGAGAAAACGAAATACCAATGAGTCTTTCCTCAATTTTACAGTAAAAGTACCAAAAAGCTTTCCCAAGAAAGCAAACAACGAAAGTCAACTCCTTCTGCTCACAGCTCCCTCCCTCATTTTGGGAGGGTGGAAAAAAAAAGTCCCTTCGCGCCTAGAGCTCCGCCCACTTGCTTGAGGTTTTCAAACAGGTCCGCCGCCAGGCAATATAAGGCTTGGTCTCCAGTCTCGTAACCCCTAACTTCTTGCTCTTCGGCTTTCAGGTTTTTGTACTGAAAGGATGTCTGGTCGCGGGAAAGGCGGCAAAGGGTTGGGAAAAGGAGGCGCCAAGCGCCACCGGAAGGTCTTACGGGACAACATCCAGGGTATTACGAAGCCCGCCATCCGCCGGCTGGCCCGCCGAGGGGGTGTCAAGCGCATTTCGGGACTCATCTATGAGGAGACCCGGGGAGTGCTTAAAGTATTTCTGGAGAACGTGATCCGCGATGCAGTGACTTACACGGAGCACGCCAAGCGCAAGACAGTCACGGCAATGGACGTGGTGTACGCGTTGAAACGCCAGGGCCGCACGTTGTATGGCTTCGGTGGCTGAGCAGTCCCGGCGGTTATCTCCACATTTCTAAAGGCCCTTTTAAGGGCCCCCAGGACGTCAAGAAAAGAGCGAACACTTTGCATTTACCGTGTGAATGTGGAATCTAGACGCAGATCGGTGCATTGGATGAAATGCACCAGCCCGGTGCCCTGAAAATACCTGTCCCGGAGGGTAGCTGCGGGTTGCAGGCGGCGGGCTTTGGGCTTCCGGGGGGAGGTGTGGGCGGTTAGTGCTTGCAGTAGGGGCCCAGCGCCGCTCGCATAGGATGTAGTCTGGGGAGTGCGGTACCGGGTGGAGACCTCGTTCTATGGTACACATACACACTGGGCTCCTGAGGTGACTTCGGGTTCCATTTGAGGGAAGGAGGCATCTCCACTGCAGAAAAACCACGTTTTAGATGTGGCGGTTGGCTTGTAAGCGGCCGAGGCCTCTGTCCCTGAGCCTATATACAGGATTCTATGCAAATTAGGGATAGTTGGTGCTGCCTCCGATTGGGTCTGGGGACCACGCGTCAGAGGGGACGGGTATTCGTCAGTGCGGCACGGTTGCCTGGCCCCTGAGAACGCGGAAGTACAGATAGCGCGGAAAGTGCTAAGTGCGGTTCTAGTGTGGCACGCAGTAGTGCCGCCTTCTGTGAATATTTTTTTTGCTGACGTTTGAGTAGGAGGTGACCCAGTGCCGACGCTGAATAAAGGCGGCCAAGCGCGGGCGAAGTCGAAGGCGGGGCCAAGGCTCGCGGCCTCGGCCAGTGGCCAGCTGCAGTTAGCGGCATGGAGCGGGTGAGCATCCCGGCCCGAATGCTTGGCGGTGGTGCTCTGACCCCTGGCCGTGGAGATCCAGGAGTTAGCCGGCAGTGCGGCCAGGGGTGCGGGGCGGCATCGTGCTGCTCTTCAGGAGGAGATAAGCCCTAGCTGTAGAGTAAAAGCCCTTTTCTGAGCCGTCGGCGGGGCTGTAGGTGGGAGATGGACGGAGGCCCGCGTTCTGATAAATTCGGTGGAAATGGTGGGGGCGAGGTAGCTGTGTAATCGCGGGTCCTGCCCAGTGATTCCGCGGTGTGGCCTGGAAACCCGGAGCAAGGGGCGGCTTGTTTGAGGGCGCTTTCCCCAGGCGACTGTAGGATCAGGACCCTGGGGACCCGTCTTTGTGCTGGCCGGCAGGGGCCGCCAGTGGGGCGAGGCGGGAACGGAGCTCACTTGGAAACATTTCTAGTATTCTCCAAGCGGAATCTGGCATTATACCAATTATTGGGGGTCAGGCGCTTTGGAACACTTTGTGTCCCATTACTGCGTTTGATTCCCCAGCAAACTTATGAAGTATTTATTGCTATTTTACAGATGAGGAAACTGATAATGGGGGAGTAAGAATTGGAGGCAAGAATTGAACCCAACCCTGTTAGATCCTGCACCCTTCGGCCTTACCTTTACATGACACTGCTTCTGCCATGGAGGCCTCTTGGCCCTATTTGCTGATATTTCACTTCTAAGTATTTTCCCCTACTCCATAAAGATTGAAGTGTGTTCGTGATTATGGTATTAATTAAATTTCTAGGGTACTGAGACAGTCCCAGAAGCTCAACTTTCTGTAATGCAAATGAAAAAACTGAGTTACTTAAAAGAAACAGCAAAGTCTGGCACACTTTGGTGCCTCTGTATTTGTTGACCGTGAAAGGGTGAATGTAAGTAGGTGGTAGATAGATAATGTACCTATTAGATCTCCAATTTAACATGAATCAAATATTAGGGTGAAGATTAGGACCCCAGTGGGTCATGGATATAAGTATTTGTATGGCAGTTCGATATATCTATTCCTTAAGTATTTAGCTTACTAGGAATTGATTTTTTTTTTTTTTTTTTGGCTTGTATTTTTGGTGATGGCCTTATTTCTTCCTAACTGCCTAGTAGAATTCACGTTCTCCCTTGGAGCATAGCTATTTTTGCTCATGTCTTATGCTCTTTATAAAATATAACCAAATTATTGGAGCACAGGAAATCTTTATATTTGTCTGTATGAGTCCTATGGTAGTACTAGCGGTCCTAAAGTAATCATGTTTTCCAAACCCAAACTGGGTCACATGATTTGAGAATACAATAAAGTATCTGAAATTGGAACTGAGATTTTTCTGAAGTTGACTAATAAAATGCCTTACTGCAGGGGCCTCTGGGTGGCTCAGTTAAGCCGCCAACTTCCGCTCAGGTCATGATCTCACAGTTCATGAGTTTGAGCCCCGCATTGGGCTCTGTGCTGACAGCTCAGAGCCTGGAGCCTGCTTCGGATTCTGTGTCTCCCTCTCTCTCTCTCTCTCTCTCCCTCTCCCCTGGCTCACACACTCTCTCTCCCTCTCAAAAGTAAATAAAACATTAAAAAATTAAAATGCCTACTACAAATGTTTGTTAAAGAACTTAAAACTTCTCTGTAATGCCTCCCTTAAATGTGAACGGGATGCTGTTGAAATTAGCAAAGTGATCTCTTCTGATTTTTGAACATTTAATGCCTCCTTTGTTCCAAGTACTGTTAAGTTTTGAAGATTCAGAGATAAATAAGCACGTGTCTGCTATCAAGAAGCTTCTATTTTCTGAGTAGACATCGGGAGGGTGGTACACGTGTGGTTTACTCTAATAGAGGGGCATGAATGAGGTGCTGTTGGTGCACAGAACAAATTTTGTCAGGTGTAGGGCTGTCTTCAAAGGTCAGATGGTATTAGAAGGGGAATGCCACACCAAGCTTAGGGAACAAATGTCATGAACAAAGGTCACAGTAGTTCCCAGGCCTGGTGTATTGGGGACCTCCTACTGTTGGATATTTCATTGGTCCTGTGTACTAATCTCTGTGTATTTGTTTAACTGTATTGATAATATTAATTAGAATGTACACTTAAATAGCACTTTATACATTTCAGAAAGCTTTCATATAAGGAGGCAACCTGATAAGTACGGAAAACCCTGGACAGGAAATTGGGTCTTAGATTGTAATTGTGATCTTGTTGCCAAATATCAGTGTGACGTTTGATTATTTGGCTTCTCAAGGCTTTGTCTCCTCTTATGCTGGAGTAATACTCAGCCCAGACACATGAGTGTGGAGACAAGCTGACTGTTGTGCCTGGTTTCCCTTCTGATCAGCCAGTGACTATTACCCGTAACCATTTGTTAAATACTTTAAATATCACTCAATTTCTAAGCTCTCTTTTTTGTTCTGGAAACCTTTCATTTTTCATGCATCTAATGTTATCATAGCTATTATTGCTAGTATTCTACATTCAGAAACACTTATTTCCAAGTCTTTTATTTGTAAGCACAAATAAGTAAGCACAAATATGTGTATAAGTAAGAATTTAAAAGTGGGATATAAAACTACATAGAGCACAATATTGATACAGTAAAACACTACAATTAATCTTTCCCTTTACCAACATGTTAACGGTAGTTATTAATGAATACAGGTTTATGATTATTTTAATTTTCATCTTTAGATATTGCTGTATTTTCTGAGTTTTCTACAAGTATAAATACTTTAATAATGAAATCAATATTTTTAAGTATTTTACTTTGAAATGAATTTTCACAAGCATGATATGACCAGAGGATTAATGGGAAGGTTATATAGTGCATATGGAAAGGATACATATACACATGCACATGTGTATGTGTATATTACAAGTGGGAAGAATGTATCATTGACACTACTCTACTATATATGATATTATCTATAGGTTATATATACCTTCCCAAAATAGCTTTGTCTGTATCTCTTACATTTCACATGTAAGGGGTAAGGGTGTAAAGGGATTTCATTTCCTCAATTAGACCTGCCAACTGTTTCTTTGAAAGAAGAGTCCCTGATTTATAGTGGGAGACCCAGAAGGGAGATAAGGATTCTATAGGTAATCATTAACATTTAAATTCTTCCAGGGAATTGTCTTGCTTAAATATTTGATGAAATACGATTTTTGCAGTGGTTTCTAAATTCAGTGGTCAGAGAAAGAAAGTAATTTGGTTACATTCCAGGTTGTGGCCCAAAGGTAATAACTGCTGCCATCCCTTCTCTCAGCTTTACCATCTGTGTCCATTCTCTTTTCTCTTGCTTAGGTGGCTGCAGGCAAAACAGTCTAGTGCCTGTGGATATGTCTGTCCAGAATAGGAGATTAATTCTCTTCATTCAGTCTCCCCTAAGGAAGGAGGAGAAAAGAGCTGTCAAATGCCTCTCTGGACTGATAACTCATAGCTGTGATTACCCTTATCTTCCCACGGAAGTAGCAGCTCATGGCAGTGGAACTGATTCTGCCTCCTTTTAGTAAGCCTGGAAAGGCAATGTCTGATTGCAATTCTGTCTTTAGAATTTGAGGTACATGATGCCTCTTTATCCACAGCTTGGACTCTAGGTATGAATTCTGGGACAACAAAAGAAGATTCACCCAACATCTGACATCCTCATAAATACTATAATCCACAGATAATTTCTGTTCATAATATGTGTATCTTTAAATATTTTCCATTGGCTCTTATGTCTATATTGGCGGTATCTCTCCCATCCCAGTTTGTGTTTGGAATTGTTTGATGAACCCCGTATACATATTTATGTCTATGTGGAGCTTCTTGAAGGATCCTGGATAACTGCTCCATTTCCTACCCTCAAATGTAACTGGTTTATTGAATATTCTCAACTCAGGAGACAAATGTGAAAACTTCATCCATTCTCTATCAGATCTCTCCTTTAACCTCATGATATCTTGAAAAGATTCCATTATGTTTTGGTCACTGTCTCAGTTACTAAAAGTCAAATCTACTTAAAGTTTCAATCTCTTATTCAGTATAAAAAACTTTTCCTTCCTCCATGGCTGACTAGCTCTAAGCTCAATAGATGTGGAGTGGGGAGAGGATGGTTTGTACTTTCACTTCCCACTATAAAACCTGGCATCCAGAGGGGCCCCTTGTCATGAGCCTAGAGCAACGGGAAAATTTCAGGAAGCATCATGCCACATGTAGTAGCTTTGGGTAAGTCCCTTAACAAATCTGAGTTTCACTTTCCACATCTATAACATGGCAATAACAGCTCTCAGGATTTTATGACGGTTAAAAGGGATAATATAGGCAATATATGGCAGGTTGCCTGACACTTATTATACATTTACTAAATGTTGGATGTTACCATTATGATGATAAACACCTACTCATTCCCATCCCTTAACCAATGACTTGT